ATATATATATCACTTTATTCATTAAGACATAAAAATATACAGAATGAAATAAAGGAGAAATATTTACAAGCATAGGTCAAGTTTGGATCACAGAAATGCAAGGCATAATAATAGTTATATCTTTGATAACTACAATAATAGAAGTATAATATAGTAATATAGAAAATAATTCTAACAATAACAATCATAATAACAGCGGTAACTATAGCAATATTAATGATAGTTAGGCCTATATACATAGGCCTCTAATATAACATATCAATAATAATAATATCGTAACTTTGTTTTATTGTCTAAATATTCAAGAGCTTTTAACGTCAATATTATCATAGTAAATTATAAACAATTAACAAAAAAAACAAAACCCCAATAAATACACAATAATAATAAAAATGATAATGATGATTAGGATGTTAATAATATTATAGTCCATACTATTTTTTTTTTAAATCTAAGAAAATCCCTGTTGATTTAATATAGTTATTGTACACGATTCAATTGATTTTGCCAAGGTACTATAACAGTTTCTATCTCTATTTAGGCCTATCAATGTATTCTATGCTACGATTTTTAAGGAAATCGTTTATCATGAAACATATCCTAATTATTGAAGGTCTGACACCCTCGTTACCTACAGTAAATATGCTAAACCAGATATTATAAGATAGTGTAATACATACTCCAAGTATCGAAATGCACGCCATCGTGTCGGGATTCAATATATCGACATTAATTATGCCATCATTAGGAATGATGATGACAAATATGTTATAATAGATATTATAACAAAACAGCAATGAGTATACTTTGTATTTAACTTTCAACAAATGTTTAGAACTAACGTATGCTTCTGTAGAAAGAAAGTTTAAGACTTACCTGAAACACACCGTGGCTCTTAGTTATAAATAATTTGAAAAGCTTGTTTAATTTAACAACTCGTATCCGCTCTAGAATGCTGAATAACCGAATAACACTTGACATGTGATGCAAGGCTAAACTCACCATGAGAAAATCTGCTAGTACCGTGGCCTAGCCAAGCAGCGAGCAACAAGTGGCTAGTTAAGTTGGCTTTTCAATTGCATCGAACCTCAGAAAGCTATTAAGTTGCACAGCCACGTTGTGGATGTATTCTACGGAATTTCGATCGACAATTCATGCATGCTTCTTTTTTATTAACGTTTGACTACACGATATTAAACTCTAGGACTTGTGATATTGCGGTTTAATAAGTTGCCGTCTCTCATCTTTGCATCGTATTGTCTGAGGAAACAGTAATTGTGATGTCATCAACCAACCGGGATTAAGATTTTTCAATTTCAGTTTCAAGGGGTTGTCGTAACCATTTCACTTATCCTCCTGAGCTAAATTATGCCATTTATTTGTATGTATTTGTATTATTTGCTTATCAACCTTTTCCTTACAACATCACAACAATGATTTCATCGTTGATGCAATTAGTACAGTATAATTTTTACTTTTTTTAAAAGTAATGTTTATTTGTTTTAGTTTGGGCTGTTAAAACCTCTGAATTTGTTTTGTCAGTCCTTTTCTATTTCTTTGTTTTTGTGCTCGTTGATATAATACTGTAGGCCTATTTATTTGCCTATTTGCTTTTGAAATAGGAAATATTATGAATTGAATTAAACAAAGTAATTGTAGGGTGCGCTATAATACTGTCTTTAGACTTCCTTTAATGGGGTCTTATACAATGTCTGCTGGCATTTCCAGGTAATTTACGTCAGTTTCAATTTCCCCTTTAATATTGTTATATACTTACCATGTGTGTTTTGTTGAATAATAGGCCTACTGCCAGTTTAAAAATAGACATTTTTATAGGGTTATATTTTATGAAGTTAATAATATTGTTGCTCTATTACCCTTAGGCCCTTATATTTAAACAATAATGTAATGCCCCAATAAAGATTTTTTATTGCTAATAATTATTTATCTACTCACTAAAGTCATCTTCATGCGGTCATGTAGAAACCCCACGTATTTGGCTCTAACTTTAACATTTGATCTTATGCGTTTTGCTTGGATTACCGTATAAAAGATGACATTAATTTAGTAGCTAGAGCTCCCCTGCTTTAATTTTTGTTGTTATTAATATTATTATTAGTCTTACTGCTAATATGATGATGATGATGATGGTGGTGGTGATGATGATGATGATTATGATGATGATGATGATGATAATAATAATATTAATACCATATTAAACAATCTGAAGTATCGGTTTGTTGTTAATATATGCAGTTTGTATGCTTCCAAATCTTTTCACTTTTATCGGATTTACTGAATATGCTTCCATGCTCCATGCTAGTTTTTAATTATAAAATGAAATAGACATCATAATGCTCCAAAAATCTGTGACCTGCTTTTCGTACTCTGATGGAACAGATTGCAGTACATACTGATAAAAATTGAGTACAGGTGTAGTACTTATTGATTAATGTCAGCTAATACAACCCTGAAATGTAAACATTACGCAAATGTTATCGTTTAGGCCCGATTCATACTATTTAAGACGCGTAGTAGCGTTGATTGCGTATTTGTCAACGCGTCAAATTGCTTGTGAACATATTTTATATCCTAATTTAGAAGATGACACTAGCCTACATCTTCGTAAATGATTGCAATTATTTTGTTAACATTTCACGGTTAATGTGATATGCTTATATCAACAATATTCTAATGGAATTAAAAACGATTTCATATAACACTTTTGTAAGATACTTAGGTAAGAGGTTTACTCAGTAACCCTAACAATGGATCAGTTTAAATATAAATAACACTCATCAACAATTACAGTTAATATACAATGTTTAGACACGAACATTGAGAAAGCAAATCATTTTGTAAAACAGGTAATGAATAAGCGGGTACACGCTTCCATTAAGCCAACCTATACTATTAGCATTTAAATGCGTAGTCACATGAAAATAGGAACAATACCATGCCATTAATAACTGTAATGAAATCTGTGAAAGTAATATGAGATATTTGTGTGTACTTTTAGGAGAGAATAGCACTCGCTATTCAAACGAGGTTTAGATAGGAAACTCCTCAAACGTTTCTTGGACTTCAATTGCTTTAAGAACCACTTCTACTTTGCAATAGCAGATATCCTCTGCTAATAATGTTTAGAGCAATGGGGAGATGTTTTGAAACCAAAACTAAGACAGGGTATGTCACCGGTTTGAATTAATGACTTTATTGAAATGCATATATGAGTGATTACCAGGCGTACGTGCGTATATTTTCCCGTTTGACTGTAACGATGGATCCACACTATACAGCAATTTAGGAGCGTTTTTAAGTTAGCCTAAAACAGAAGAAAAATTATGCCAACGTTATTCACCACAATTAGACGCACACTAATTTGACGCAGTAAATTTGCAAGAGCACACCAACAAAATATGTTTACTAATGAATCTAGCAAGCGAAAAACAAAGTGAGCTTAGTGTGAACAGACTTAAGAATGTTAGTACACAAATTAGGCTCTTGGACCCCCGATTATAACTGGTTTTAAACGCAACTGTACACAATGTAATTGGTTCCATTAAACCCTTGCGAAGAGAAACGCTTGTAACGCAAAATGTGTACCAAATCAGCTGTTGCAGCAATAGGATCTGTTCTACTGTATTTCAATCTGTAGAAAGAAGGGGTTCCCATGAGTTCCGAAGGAGGTATTTTATAAGTTACATTTTTGTAATCCTGAAGGTGTCTTAAAACAAATGTTTATGTGATTCTATAAAAAAAAATGTCCCATGGGGTCGTTTAGTGGCTAGTTTATCAGCCATCTTCAGAATCAAAATCAGAAAACTTGATTAATCTCCAAAAGAATACATTTTTGGTGTAGAAAACTTCGGATTTCTTCCAATGAATGTTGGTCGCAATTGTGTCCATCTTGGATTTTAAAAATCGATATTCGGCATAACTTCTGATCTAGGCATATCATATTGTGCAAACATAAACAGTATTTTCTCAGTAACATTGCCATTGGTTTGGGAATTGATTGAGATTATTATTATTATTTTATGATTTAAGATGCCTTCACACCGAATCATTTTCAGTTCTGAAAGCCTAACGAACAGATCAGAAAATCAGATCAGTAACCGTATGTTACTTCTTTAGCGCATCGGAAACGTGGTTCGAATTTTGGCTTGGATCCGATGTAAATGCAGCTTTAAACAAAGTTAAATACATCAAAACTAAAATAATAAGAAAGGGTCATATTTTCCGTTTAAGGGAAATGTTTTCTTCTCATTCTGTTTTTTATACAGAGGAGGTGTTAATCCGGACCACGAAGTGTCTTGCTTGTCAGGGTGTAAGCGTTTTGTCCACACAAAAAGCGTGTTGTCGCAAGACAACTGGGTTCTCCGAACCATTGCCTACGGCTGCCAAACTGAGCTACATCGTCAAGGTATTTTAAATGATTTTGATATCCAATTTCACAGGATTGTTCTACATCAAGCAAAATTTTAAAGGGCGTGCATTCGTCCTGAATCATTAAATCTGCTATTTATCCGTTACGACACCAATGCGGATGGAATCAATTGAATGTGTAACACTTTGATAAATTAGTCCGCATTATTGTCTAATTGGTTCATTTAATTGCTCGTAAGAGCCTCATTAGTTGTGCTGCAGTTGTGCTGTGAACACTGCCTTTCTTCACTGTTTTATATATCTGTCATTGGTAATATACTCCTTAAATTATTTTCCAAAAAATAAATTACATAACGTAATTAAAGTCATAGGCCTATTAATTTAGCCATGTTTTAGAGCCTCGTTCGTTACTTAAAAGGACCGAACAGTCGGTTGCAATTATTTACAAGAATTGTAAAAGAGGAGGAACACAAAGATGTGGAGTCGCCTATCTTCTCTTGCTCGAGAAGCGACTGTAGAACATGTCGTAAATGACATTACATCTAGGGACGGGATTAAATCTAATATATGTTCACATATTATTACTGATAATTCCCAGAAAGTCAATGACGAAGAAAAGCTAGGTCTGAGTGAAAGCGTCAAGAACGGAGATATTCGTCTCTGGAGTGTGGATGTATCAAAGCGAGTGGAACACACTGATCGCCAAACATGGAGTAAAAAGATCGATTTTCTTTTGTCTATCATTGGCTTCGCAGTGGATTTGGGGAATGTTTGGCGATTTCCCTACATCTGTTATAAAAATGGCGGCGGTAAGCTTAAACGTTCTTTATATAGGCTAAATTATTTTTTTTTCTGAAATATTTTTTTTCGTTTTCATTTATTTACACATTCTTAAAAATGATAACCAGGGCTCAATGTGCTCATTTTCTGCCAATTTCTGGCCCAAATGCTCTTATTTTGTTCTTATTTTAAATAAACTAAAGGGAAAATTATGTACCATTTACACATTTAGCCGAGTGTTTTGTGTCGTAATTCCCTGATGTAACTTCAGCTTAAATTACATCTGAGGACATTAATGGTAGAATATATATAATGATGAAATAAAATGTTTAAAACATTAATAGGCCTACTTTAAAGTATGTGACTATAGGTTGATTTGTTGGTTTTCTAATTTTTAAAATAAAAACCTCACTTGACATTTTACGTTAGCCTCTATTGCTCTTATTTTTAAAGAAATGTCAGCCTCATTGTTCTTATAAAATACATATGTGTACTTGTTATTACATATTATACTAAAATGTTGCTGCATGCCTTTTTAAATCTAATAATAATAATTAATGAATACATTATAAACTTAAACACACACCAAGGAAAACCTATACACGAAATTCTTTCATTCCAATTTAAATTTTTGACAGGTGCGTTTTTAATCCCGTATCTCGTCATGGCATGTTTGGCAGGAATACCACTATTCTACATGGAATTAGCTCTGGGACAGTTTCAACGAACCGGAGCGATCACCATATGGAAAAGAATTTGTCCACTACTTAAAGGTGATGACAACTATGAATATTTTTAAAGCAACTACATCACTATTTACAAAAAGTTAGGCCTTATCGTACTTTAAATAGCCTAATAAATCCAGTCCCTGGTATTCAAATTGATATGGTGACCCTATACTCCAGCCTTCCCGCCGTTGTGACCAAACCGTCATTCTTTTTTGAAATACTGTACAGGTTTCTGTTTGATTAAAAACAGTTAAGTTGAAGTATAATAGATCGGACTGTCTATTTGAGGCGAAGATATTAGTAACGATTATTTCCGAACGGAACCGAAGGTCTTGGGTTCAAATGCATATGGGACAATACGTTATTTTTCTAAAAAAATTGTTCAGATTAATCTTAGAAGGCTATACTGTAATGAATTAGCCCGATGTTCACGACTTCTACATAATTTGTTGTTATTTAAGAGAATTTTAGAATGTAGTGTGATTCTGTAAGACTAATTTTTTAATTGAGTATATGGGGTTTTTCATATACATTATCAATCCGTAATATATTCTTGCTTAAAGATCCACTGTATATGAATCATCATTGTGTTTCATGTTTCTTGGTTTAGGGATCGGCTATGCTATTTGCGTGATCAATCTATATGTATCTTTCTACTACAATACAGTCATCGCATGGTCTTTGTATTATCTATTTTATTCATTCACAACCAAGCTACCGTGGTCGACTTGTGGTAATGTATGGAACACTGCCGCATGTTTAGACCCATTGTTGCCAAATAATTCTTTCTATAGTAATTCTGCTTCACCTTCTCAGGAATTTTTTGAGTAAGTAGGCCTAATTTGTTTTTCTGTGTTAGTTGGATTGGATTTATTCGATAGGGACACCAAGGATAACCCACAGAGTCCCGAATACTTACTTACTTGCGCGAATAAGCACCCGAGCGCTTATTTATTTTTGCACTTTTGGGGGGTGTGGGGCGCCTATTTAAACAGAGTGGAAATTGAGTGAGCGCTATATGAAAATAGATGAGGGGTTTATGGGAACCTGGAAAATTCAAGGGGCACTTTTTGAATGAAAAAAAAAATTATATAATGACATCTGGAAACAGAAGAAACGAATGGTTCTGGTGCAGAAAAATCTAAGATAATCGTCCAGAGAGCATGGCTCATGACAACAATTATGTGAGTATTTACACCAGGGGCGGATCCAGTAAGGGTACGGGGGGCACCCGTGCCCCGTTTTGCCACTAAATTTTAAAATTTCAAGGCATATTGAAATTAGCGCTGTCACTTATCTATTCTAAATATGTTGTGCCCCCCCCCCCGTTTGAAAAATTCTGGATTCGCCCCTGTACACAACAGCAGATGAGGGTGGTGTTGGTAAGCTAGTTGGCCATCTGGCGATTGAGATTAGCAGAATCATTGCAGGGTTTTTGCAAACTCAGATGAGAACGTACTAAAGTTGCAAATTGTCTGGAAAAGAAAAAGATAAGTAGGACTTGACAAGAACAGGAAAGTTGGAGCTCTCATCTGTCCAGGAGAAATATCCTCATTTTGAAATTGACATAAGAAGAAAATGTTAAAAATCCACTCCGCAGCTCAAACCATGGCAACCACAGTCTCAGGATTGATTGGACTATTGACTTTCTAAATCTAAAAAAAAAAATCAAAAAAAAAAAATCACATGATATTGTTTTAAAAAATGAATACAAATTGGGCGCCTATTTAAATTACGAGGGGCGCTTATTCAAACGGGGTGCTTATTTGCGCGAGTACGATATTTCCAGTGGGTTTTTTCTGGTTGTGATTGGATAGTGCACCTGAGACGATACCCTACATTTTCCTAAGAGTGTACTGCGTTCCATCAAAAAAATTGAACAGGGTCCAAAGGATCTCCTCAGCGCACACACCTACCACCAGTTAGGCGACTGATCTATAATGCTGCTCTCTTGTTTTCTTTTCATTTTTAGTTAATATAAATTTCTTTACAGGGTTTTTAATTACCAGAGCTATTGTCATGAAATACTATATAAAAGTTATAAAATGTATATATATATATATAAAGCTGAACACTCACTGCACCACGGTCCGATGCGTTCCCTGCTTAATATGTTACTGTAAAAATTCTTAATTATTGGAGTTGGGTATTAAAGCCTATCATATGCAATTCGGTTTTACCAGACGCAGAGTTTTGGGGGCAGATCGCTCGAGTGGCATCGATGACTTAGGAGGGGTGAAATGTGATCTAGCTTTGTGTCTTCTTGCAGTGTTTGTTATCGTGTACTTCAGTATCTGGAAAGGCATCAAGGGATCCGGAAAGGTATAGTGCTAATTACTATAATATAAGAAAGGCACTACATCATTTTAACCACGAAATATGCAATAAACTACATCTAGTTCATTAATTAGGATGTTTTATTGAACGTGAAATACCGTATATTTAGCCTGAATCTATGACAAATACGTATCGTTTTCCTCAATTTACTAGCTGATATTTAAGCTTGGTGGTTGTAATAGCCATAATAATAAATTAATTCAATGTACTATACGGATAATGATTTAAGAAATGCAAATTATTCATTAAACGCTTACTACATTTAATTCATTAATACATTCATTTGACCGTAAAATATATTTATCGGAATCTATTATTCCTTGCCCATGGAAGGATCTCCCACATGACATCCGACACTCAATACCGAAGGCAGGATTTTCAAACAGTGGGGGTCAATAAAAGGGTGGACCCACTTTACGCGTAAATTCAAATAATGTGGACCTATTTTCATAAAAGTTGATTCATTTTACGCAAAAATATTTGCATAAATACATTTTTAAAAAAGTGTTCTCATTTTATGCACAAAATTGCATAATTTGGACCAATTTTTTAATATTTGGACCGATTCTTTGTGGACCCATTATAAAAATTGTGTGGGACTGTCCCAACTGTCCCAATAGCTAGCTAAGGCATTGCCGACACTCTATATCAATCACACAGTTCAACTTTTCCACGAAGAGTCATTTATTTACTATTTAAATATCAAACATATCCTACTTATTACCCTTGTTTCGTAAAGCGCTTTGGGATCTTTGGTAAGAGCGCACTATAAATGACTGCTCTATTACTATCATTATTACAAACATGCATCCTTTTCCTCAATTGTTGCAACAGCCATAATACAATAATTCAATGAACGTTACTAATAATAATTATAATTTAAGAAATGTAAATTATTCATTTTGGTTGTAAGCTTCTGCGAATCAACAAAAAACTGAATTGTTTCCACTTGTGTTTCATTAAAGGTATACTTTTACTTGTGTTAAAAGCCTTTTTACTTGTCCGACTTGTATTGTTTTTGTATCGGTTTTAAATTACTTCAGAGTTGATGATGTCATTGTCCGTCCAAACTTAGTTCATTTGGACCGATTCTTTGTGGACCCATTATAAAAATTGTGTGGGACTGTCCCAACTGTCCCAATAGCTAGCTAAGGCATTGCCGACACTCTATATCAATCACACAGTTCAACTTTTCCACGAAGAGTCATTTATTTACTATTTAAATATCAAACATATCCTACTTATTACCCTTGTTTCGTAAAGCGCTTTGGGATCTTTGGTAAGAGCGCACTATAAATGACTGCTCTATTACTATCATTATTACAAACATGCATCCTTTTCCTCAATTGTTGCAACAGCCATAATACAATAATTCAATGAACGTTACTAATAATAATTATAATTTAAGAAATGTAAATTATTCATTTTGGTTGTAAGCTTCTGCGAATCAACAAAAAACTGAATTGTTTCCACTTGTGTTTCATTAAAGGTATACTTTTACTTGTGTTAAAAGCCTTTTTACTTGTCCGACTTGTATTGTTTTTGTATCGGTTTTAAATTACTTCAGAGTTGATGATGTCATTGTCCGTCCAAAATTAATTCATATTTTATTCTCATGCTTTTAATGTCCACTTTTTCTGTAAATTTGTAACATTCAGGTTTTTACTGCAAGTGCAATTAGTTATATTATAAAACACCATTATGAATGAATGAAGAGATTATGGCGTATATGATGCCTTTAAATAAGAGGAATTTGATGTTCTATTATTATATAAATACGAACAATAAGAACATGCAAAGCATTTTTTAAAGTTGGAAATAATATCGACTTCTTACAAATAAGGTTGTTTGGGTGACTGCAACGGTTCCATACATTTCGTTATTTGTACTGCTTATTCGTGGAGTGACTCTTGACGGTGCAATTGATGGTCTTGACTATTACCTACGACCTCGATGGGATTCTTTAATCAACGCTGAGGTAAAACCAAATACTGATAATGAATGTTATAGGCCTACTAACAGTAGTGATAACGGTATAGTTATAAACATCATGATATCGAAAACGAGGTGCATAGTGATGAAAAGTGTCAATTGAGCAACGACGACTTAGGACCACCCCTGTGCACAGTAGTTTAGATAACAGCAATGCATAATGGTTCTAAGGACACGTTTATGAGGTGAGTGTCTAGATTACTGTTAATTTAAATCGTCTTATATATGAGAAATCTGTCGTCCAACTAATCGGAATTCTCCTGCTGTATACTGAATTCCTTATTCAACTGGGCCACTGGACCTTTTTAGTTCTGCTTCTGGACCTCCTAAAGACTGGTAATTCCAAGCCTCTTTTTATTTACGTTTTTGAAGGCCGTAGAGCTGACGTCAACGTAATATGGCTTAAGCATTGAAAACTGTCATTTTTCTGACAAGACGAGCTAATCAGTATCATTCATTTGCTTGGTTATTTTTGTCTAGGTATGGGTGGATGCTGCTTCTCAAGTGTTTTTCTCACTTGGTCCAGGGTTTGGTGTTTTGCTCGCACTATCAAGTTATAACCCGCCACAGAACAACTGTTATGGGTATGTTTGCCAAACTCAAACTTTAAGCATAATGGTATACTAAGATACAAACACCAAGTAGCAATGATGTGAAAATGTGTGTTTTTCTATTACATTTCGAATGCATATATAAATCATGGTACATTATAGAGAAAAACTCTAAACTGTATTGTGGTAATGATATAATTATATATACATTTTGAACTTTAAATAAGTGTGACAGTGTTTCCGCAAACGGGATTCGAACTGGGGAATTTACCAAATGGTTCACTGTGGCTTCAATGGGAATTCAAATACAATTAAAAGTAACTAACTTTTCACATTATTGCACATGCGCGGAACTAGTTTTCAATGATATGCAAATTACAGAATCAATATGATAGGTCCTCATCTAAAACATTTGAACGTCAAGACGGGATCTAAAAAAAAACTTCTTCATAAATAAATAATAGTATTATGTATGTAGATATGGAAAAGAGTATACAAAATTGACTTTATACATTCTATATATGAACATACTGTATTCGAATCTGCCTCTTCTGCTGTATGTAATATTCATGGGATACATGTTTATTTTCTTAGCGATGCATTGTTGGCAAGTGCTGTTAACTGCTTTACCAGTTTCATATCGGGATTTGTAATATTTTCTTTCTTGGGCTACATGGCATACATGCAAGGTGTAGATGTCAGAAACGTTGCTACTGAAGGTAAATGTTACTAATGAAATTGTATGTAAATATTGATATGAGGTAAATATTGATTCTGAAAGTAAATTTTGACACTGAGTGTAAATTGTGATACAAATGTACATGTTGCCAGAGATAGATGTTGCACTAATGGTAAATGTTTCCACTGAAGGTGGATGTTCTACATTCAAATACTATTAGCCTACTGTTCGCAAAATGTTGCCACTGACGCTAAAAGGTGTCCCTGATGCTGTGACTGAAGATATATATCGAATTTTAAATACTGAATTGAAGGTAGAACAATGTGAATGTTGCCACTGAATCCGAATGTTACAGTTAATGTTATAGATGTTGCAACAACAGGTAGATGTTGCCATTAAGGATAAGTTTGCTGGTGAAAGTACGCCTAACCTTTTGAGGTGAACATTTTCATTACCGATAAACACTCTCTAATAACTAAAGGCTTTATATGTCCAATATAATAATAATAATAATAATAATAATAATAATAATAATAATAATAATAATAATAATAATAATAATAATGTTAGTCTTATAGAGCGCTTAATACAAAACAATGCTTCTAAGCGCTTTACAAAAAATGAACAGGAGAAATGTTAATGAAACCATAAAATATCCTAACAATAAACAAAAATGAAATACAAACGCAGAGGAACCATTTTCACTGATCCGTTCTCCGGAACTTTAAAGCTACCATAATTGAGAGCTCGCCTGAACAGATCTCACAGGAGCACGAGTTAAAATGACCTCTGACTATTATCCTACCAACAACAAAAAATGTGTGAATGGATTTTGAGGAAAAATGAATGAATGACCCCTCAATGCCAATACAATGAATTTCAGTATTTGCTACGACTTAGTCTTTTTGCCACAAAATGTCTCAAATGTTGCATCTGGATGTAGGCCTACATTTGTCAGTGAATCAGTATCAAAGGTTACTGTAAACAAATTTGGCAACGAAGATAAATGTTGCTACATTTAAATGATGGTACAGAATGTAGCAACATGAAACAGCAATTATTGGTATTAAGTTTTGAATATGATACTGCATTTAAATGACATGTCATTATTATACTTTATTAGGGCCAGGCCTCGTTTTTATCGTGTACCCTCAGGCGATCGCTACAATCACTGGCTCAACTATATGGTCAATTTTATTTTTTCTGATGTTGATTAACCTCGGTCTCGACAGCACAGTAAGATTATTATTTATTTTAATCAGTAAGTGAACATATATGCACACATTCCTTTTTTATATGATCCACAGGAAACTGTTACTGTTTCATAGGTAGGGCACCTGAATATTTAAAAACAAAAAATGAGTTTATAAAGTATAAAATGCAAAATAATTTAGAGGGCTTTTACAATAATGCAACTACAGTAATTGTTTTTTGAAACAGACACAGTTTAGTCGTTGAGTCACGTAAAGATACTTATACTTTAATTTGAATGTGTTGTCATAATTAGGCATTGCACTTAATAAAGATTAAACCAAGTACAATAAAGAGTTCTGCCAAAATAATTGGTAAACAAATTTGGCGATTGTTAACTTTGTATTATCAGTTATGAAAATCATAGGTCGATTTTTTTTAGGAAATCATACAGTACGGTACTACGAAGATGTGTCCACACTATCAAATTTTCTTTGACAAAAAACTGTGATGTCATCATGACCATATTTAGGCATGTCACATGGTTTTTTTTTAAACAAAATTTGATATTATGAACAATGCTTAATAGATTTAGACTATTATTTTTTAGTTTGGTGGCTTGGAGTCTATCATCACAGCATGGAGTGACGAATATCCTTTGACTGTCGGCAAAAATCGGGAAATATTTGTGTTAGCTCTGGTCTCTTGTTCGTTTTTAGGTGCCCTTCCGACTGTAACTTACGTACGTATTTTACTACTACTATTACTATTACTACTACTACTACTACTACTACTACTACTACTACTACTACTATATTCCAATATTATTGTTAATCTGTTAAATTTAGCATGTGTATTGATTTTGTCTCCAAATTCAAAGACGATCAAGGACAATTATTCTAGTATTCGACTCATAAATTAATTCACCTTATTGTATTCTAGTTATCCTTTTTCTTCTAATCATTTGTATATACAATTTGTGATGACATCACACCATCACCATACTATAGTCACATCATGACTACATATTGGCATACAAGAGTTTATTGCAAAAGAAAATTTGATAGTGTGGAACAGCTTAATTTGCTTATTATGCTTATTATAATTATCATCATCATCATCGTCATCACCACTTCCATTACACCACTATCTTCCTTCAGCTCTTTGTCATCATCACCTTCGTCATTATCATCATAATCATACTGTAATAATAATGATCATCATCATTGGAAAATATATCAACGAATGATTTTGAAAAAATATTTATGTTCCGACAAGGTTTCCGTTGGCGAAATCAATTTGTAAGAAAATAAAGTCATGTTTTAGAGAAAAATGATAGAAATAGAACTGCTATACTTTCAACTACAGCCTTCCTATGGACGCTATAATATTATCATATATTAAGCTATAGCATTATTTTTAAAAATAATAATAACCTTATATAAACAAAAAGCATTATGATATTGATAATAATATCATAAAAAGTTTTAGTTGAAAATTTATAAAGATATATATATATATAAGCCTACACATATATACAAATACATATATATATATATATGTATATATATATATAGACGAGATTATATACAGTTCACATAGTAATATTACATTAATAATGATATTCTTTAACATTATTTTATATTAATACTTCATTCTCATAATGAATAATACTGTGAAGTATTATTTATAATAATAGTTATAATATTTATATTTTTTAGGACATATTGGTGATGTGAAAATATATCAGTTAGTAATAATAAATGCATCCTGTTGCTTAAAATCTGCATAATTTTCTTCGGTAAAGACTTTTGTATGGTGTCTTGATAGGGTGGACAATACGTCATACAACTTATAGACGCGTACGGAGCCGCTTCCACACTACTTGCTATTGTACTATTAGAAGCCATCGCCGTTGCGTGGATTTATGGCAGTCGTCGATTTTCTGCTGACATAAAGTCTATGCTAGGCAGACCTCCTGGAGTTTATTGGACAATTTGTTGGTGCTTCTTGACTCCAACAGCTTTGATGGTAAATAGCTCATCATTGAATGTACAATCTTTTTTCAGTGTATTTTTTTTCAGAGCAACTTTGTTTTCCTACATTTATAAATAAAAAAAATCGGCAACGTAAGAAAAATATTCCATTGAATGAAGAAATCTCAGATAGATAAATATAATCAGTGTGACGCTAATAAACTTGACAAATTTTTGAATTACAAACAATATTCCCCTCATTAACTAGCAGTTACAGACTGGTCTTTATATAAGTTGTTGGTAATCAATAAGAGTAAAAACTAAGTTGTCTTGTTGACCCGTGTCACATAGAAGTTGATAACTATTTTTTTTCATCGTTCTAAATGAATACTTAACATGTTTAGTTTCAAAAATTTTAATTTTGAGAAATCAAAATCTTTTAGTTATAGGCATAAACGGTATAATACATTGGTTAAATTTACCGAATTGGGTCCTATTAAACCTTCCAAACACATCTTTTTCAACATTTTAATTCTGTTTCATCACCAAACAGCGCACTGAGACTTTTTTTAGACATTACATTACTTTACATTAATGTGCATTTCTAACTTCGACCTTTTCATTAGTTTATAGTTGTGTTTGGCATCATTAACTACAAGCCTCTTATATTTGATGGATATGTGTATCCACCTTGGGCAAATGGCGTAGGTTGGTTTATGATGCTATCTTCTCTAATCTGGATTCCTTGCTTCATGGTTTATAAGCTGTTCTACACCGATAGTTCACCGTTATTAGAGGTATAAAATAACTTGTTCAATAGGCCTATAAAATAGTGGACTTGGTCGACGTACAATATCAATTGCCTCTGAGCCGCTTTTAAAGGATTGAGGGCGACCTCCCTTGAATATAGCGGGCCTGTCGGTGATAGTAGTATGGCTACCGCCTCCACACACCCGTACCTGATGCAAAGTTGTCATTGTCACCTCTGTACTTAACTCCTCTTAATTTCCCTTAAACAAGGAGTTGGGTGTTGAATGCAAAACATGGTCAGAAACTGAGGCACGGCCTAACGAGAAATAAAAATTATATACATTTCTATAGAATAGACAAAACATAATTAAATTGCATTTTTCAAAGATAGTTCTTTTATTGTATAATTAATTTTTAAAATATATTGCAAACAATCAACAATTCAAATTATAGAGTTAATATGATAAAATAATAAAAGTCCTGTAAGTCTTGAGCAAAGGTAAAATAAAAAAAAAAATCGATATTGAATGACTATGATTGGAATGCCTCATCAATTCCAGATTCTGCACTTCCTAAATTGTTCCGATGACAATTGTAATTATGAACTTTAATAGGCTGACCGCGTGACCCAGAAGATGAGTGCAGGGTTTTTGATTTACGCAGCGATCGAAGACTGGCTTGATTAAGGAATTCTCCTTCTAATAAAGTCAACATTTCGTTCTTGTAATATCTACTACTGTTTTAACCTGTTTAATTTCCGATGCAATTTCCTTGCATTTCGTATTAGGCAGTGAATTCCAATTTGGTTGGTGTGACAACAAAATTTATACTGTATGGTACCGTGGTGCAAAGTGATATCGAGTAAAGTCCTATATAAATAAATATAAATATAATAACTCGATTTGTTCCTTCATATCTAATTACATTTCAGCTTTCACGTGACTTGTATACATAGACCTCTTGTTTATTGTATTACTCGATAGAACTGTATTGAAAACATTGCGTTACATCGTAACAAGTAGAATCTAATTGAAAACAGTTTAATGGATGCACTTGTCATTAAACGAACGACGTCACTCACTCTTACTAAAATGTGAATGATTACTACACGATAATTTTGTAATTTCAGCGCCTGGAGAGGTCTTTACAGCCAGAGGAGATCCCATATCATGCAGATTCTGAAGCAACCATCCCGGCTATGGTGTGAGGAAAGCAACAATAGTAGCAAACCATTATACTCTCCCCGTGACGAAAGAAATACAAACATTTGATCAGTTTTTCTTTCATAAGTAACTTTAAAACCTTGCAAGTAATTACCTTGATGTGCCGTACATTCACTGTTTTGCTGTAACAAAATAATTATTCATGCATGTATACATACGTTAATGTAGTCATGTCTTTATATAATATTTAACTCAATTGGTATACATTTCAAAAACATAACAGAATAATAATAATTATTATTATTACTACTGATAATATCCACCGTCCACCAACTGCACTGATGATTAAAACAACCAAATATTTGAAAAAAAAAAATATGTATACAAATATTTGTAGTCTTGAAAGAAATGTGTCTTTCTTAAAAGTTTGCACCGGAGACAAAACCGACCATGGAGAGAGTTCCATACACTGGATGAAAAATACTATCAACCACTTTAATAAGTAATGATAATAAAAAAATAATAATAAAACCATTCGACTTTGTTTCTTTCTTTGTGCCGTTTTGTTCTCCTTGGCTTTTTTTTAAAGCCTTTTCTTTATAATGTTTTTGCTGCTTAGAAGGGACATTACGTCTACAAAAAACAATGTTCTTATATCTTAAAATGTGTATTTTACCGTACGTCGTTTCACCGAACTGTTTTACTTTGATCAAGTACAATCTCAGCTCCAGTAAGTTAATCTTTATAGCGTCATAATCTGAGACATCTCAGGTACAACTGCTTCAATATCAATTTCACATGTTTCACAGGTACCTTTTATGTTTTCAGACGTGAATACTTTCTTTCAGTATTTGTGCAATAGTTCTGTCTGTCTTTAGGCCCATAACCAGGGACGAGTCCAGTTAAGGGCAAGAGCCCTTTCGAGGGTCAGATGTCTCCCGGAACTTAATTATTTTAGCATGTAAATAGTGAATTTTATCATCAATTTGATGGGGGTTTTATCGATGGAAAAGGATGTTCTACTGGAGGAGGTTCGCTTAAAATGGAAAGTTTAGCCTATATAACTCACTATCTGAGTAGGCCTACGCGCTTGCCAATTTTAATCAAACTATTCTTCCATATTTGAAAGTTTTATCTGCAAATCTTAATTGTTAAATATTCTCCAGGACACATTATTGGAAACTTGGGGAGTACATATTCACCTACTTCCCTAATAGGCCTTCTACATTTCTTTACAATCTTCTGCAATGTTGCCTCACTTTAGGGTTCTGAAGATAGATTGAGTTAACTGGCACAACGACGATATACTCTACGTTCTATGAACGGTACGTTTTTAAGAGAAATCAATTGAAAGAGCTGAAGGAAATTCAAGCACTGATTAAAGAACTTGACACAGACTAATGATCAGATTTTTTAAGGTCGTCATGAAAATTACCGGATAATGATGGCCACTCTCTTTTATGTTTCATCTTTGTATCGCTGACTCATTAATTTTAAAAATATATACTGCGATATTTATATACTTTAATTAACTGAGCAATGTTCAACTTTTTACTATGATGAATTAAACAGTAAATAGTGCGACGAAATATATTGTAGTTATAAGGATCAACATATTGCAACTATTTGCATTCTACCAATTTTGAACAATGTTTGTATATTTGACCATTTGTAGAGTAGGCCTACATCTAAATAATATTCATAATAATAAAGACAGTCACATGTTAGTTATCATGCACCTGTATCCGATTTAAGGCAACGTTCATGGTGCTTCGATTTCTCGAAACACATATTCAGTGTTTCTAGCTAAAATCGATGGCTAGACTTGACGATGCTCAGACTCGGTGATGAACTTCAAGCACAATTCTGATATGACCGCATGTATTGTTGACATTTTCTAAAACCCGGGTTTTGCTATCAGACCTCGGAGTCTTCATAGGGTTTGTAATCCAGCTAACGGGTGGATTAAATTTATCCTATACGATTAGATCAACAACAACGAAATGACACAATAATAAGTAACAGTAGAATTGTCGAGACTTTTCAGAAACACAACACTCACGGCGCCCTCAACAACCTATCGAAACTGGTGTCTAATGATCTCACTAGTAAAACCTATAAGCCGAATTAAAAACCAGCATACTGATTTCTAATTATCATTATGGAGAACTTAGAGAACTCACAGTACTAGGAATGATTCTAAATGTAAGTGTTCTGTCAACGGGCTCGAACACTATCATCATTATAGACATAGTTATATACTGATTGGATAACTTAAATTTAACGTATTATATTTCACTTCAATAATTGCTGCTTTTTAAAAAAGTATTATTTAAATAAAAACAGCAAGTATTGAAGAGAAATATAATACGTTAAATTTAAGTAAATTCAATCTGGTTTATAGTTCTAACATGATTAGAGTAACTAGTTTAACGATGAATATGACACAATGTGTGTTTTTTTTAAAACATTTAATCGTACTTTTAAATGTTGTTTAAAAAAACATAGTATTTTGTGTTTACAATAATACTTAATGACTTATCTACTGTGCAAATGTTCTCCTGATGCTCTTATAACTGTTAAACTTAAATATTGTAAAGGAATGTAATACAAAAATTGAATTCGATTGAATTGTTTGGAGTAAAATGTTGGTCTTCGTTGAACTGTTCTTGAGGTTGAAGAAAATATTACTGAGGCTTATACGACAGATGCGACAGGATTGCGGTCGTATGACTGGTTCTTTTTTAATTGTCTTTCCTAGTGATCCAAAGGTAGGTTGTACATCAAAAGTAGTACATCAACAGTGTAGTGTCTTCTCTCAATCCCCGAGCTCAATCAATCAAGGTTCAACTGTAGCATCTTCAAATTGCCTTGTGCGACATTGAGAATTTAGAAGCCATTTTGTTTCATACGCGATGCGCGTTCTGTGTCTAACGTGATGTGCGTTCCTGTGTATAACATTGTATAAATACAGTTAACAGCCTCCTGTATAGTTTAATTCCAT